GGGAAAGAGAGAAGGGAATTGCCCTCAATATCCATGTTGTTCTCAGCTGCACAGGCAATGCTTGCTCCAGTTTGGGGGTTTAGTGGGTTCCTTGTGCTGGGTGGGAGTTACCTGCTGGGCACACAGGGGATCCAAACTGCCCAGGGAATTCACAGCACTCCTCCCTGCCTGGACTTCCTCTCCTGTGAACCAGAGGGCTGAGGAGCATGTCTTCTCAGTGAATTCCACAGGGAAATTCATGCATCAGCACCAGGGTAATTGGTGGATGCCTGGAGAGAGGCCAGGGACAGAAGGGAGCAAGGGGGGCTCCTGCTCTTAACCCTGCCCAGGCTTGGTGGGGAGGGTTGGATCTCTTCACTGGACGTGATTGGCAGGGTTTTGGGCCCGTGAGGCCAGCCCCAGCCCCTGACGTGCTCTCTGAAATGATGAAACCTGTTTGTTTTCCTCCCCCAGCAAAAGACGAAGCGGCCATGGCAGGTAAAAGACTGCAGTCACTATCCCTTAACAAGTAAGCACAGGACATGCAAGAGGAGGAAACACCAGGGAACTGTGCCTGGTGCCTGCCAGGACCTCTGTCGTGTTGCATATACCACATAGGGTCTGCTGCAGCATCGAAGTCACCTTCACCTCCAAGAGACACTGACGATGTGTTTGTCCTCATCCTGGCACAGATTTCCATTTGGGGTTAGGGGCAGCTGCTATCTCTGGTGCAGAGCTGTGCTGAGCAGCAATTCTCTGTAACAGTTTGGAAACCTGAATGTTTTTGCTGGTTTTAGGGTTAAAAACTCCTTGGGGTGGGGGTCAGGGTGGGAGGGAGATGCTTCAACTATTAGATTGCAAGAGAATAGATTGGGGGGTCATTGTAGGGGGGGGACATGGGGTGGGGAACTTTGACTTGCTAGTGAAAGCCCAAAGGATAATGTATCTGAGGAATCTTTTGGGGGGCAAATGGCCCATCCAATTTTGCTTCAGGGTGTTGCAGTATGAGCTGGGAACCTGACTTCATGGACATCTGGAGTGCCGTTCCTTCCCGGTTTCATCCCTCTTTTCTTGCAGCCAGTCTCCCCTTTTCCCTCCTCTTCATTTTTACTTTTACTTCCTTCTCCTTCTTAGGGATAGTGCCAGTTTTTAACCATGTCATCCTTTGTTTAAAGGAAAAAAAACCCAACATAAATTGTATCAGATGGAACAAAACACTTGATAAAGTTGAAAACCCGACACCAACCAAACTTGTATATTTGGCTGATTAAAATGTAAGTTATCAGAAGGGCTCTGTCCTCACCTGGTGTGTGTGTGAGTGACCCCGAGGTGCAGCACCAGCCTGGTGGTGTGGTGCCTTCTTGCCTCTGCTCTTTGCTGTTTTGGTGGTGGTTGTGGTGTGGAATTGGGCTCGAGGTTCGGGAGCTCCACCAGCAGATGCAGCCTGAAGGCAAAAAGCTTTTCCTGCTGTCTCTGGTGGACATCTTGCACAATGGAGGTGGAGAAAGCCATTCCCTCGGGCTGCTGGCCAGCCTGGTCACTGTGTGAGGAGGCCAGTCCCAGAGCTGTCCCTCCTGTCAGGTGTCCTGTCTGCTGGAGCAGGGGATGCTCTGACCTGCTCTGCACCAGGAGGTCCATGGAGCCCTGTGTCAGCCTGTGCCAGACATCAGCACCTCCCAGACTGGAGGAGATTCAGTCCCAGAGGTGAGATGAGAGTGCTCTGGAGCCACTACCAGAGAGGTGACCCTTGTAGAGATGCAGGGTGACAAATGCCACTTGTTCTGTGTGATCCTGTCCTTGGGGCTGCAGGGACTTGGCCAGGACAGAGGGATGTGCTCCAGGAGCATCACTGTGAGCTGCCTGCTCAAACTGTGGTGGGGAACTCGTTTTCCTGGTCACATCTGCACATGGATAGAGGGGTCAGCCCTGGAGCTGCTCCCCAGCACTGCCCCTCAGGCCATGGTCGAGGTCAGGGCTGGGCTGCTTTGAGGAGCTCCACCAGGAGCAGGGTTGGATGGGTTTAACCTGAGCTGTCACAGCGAGGGCTGATCCAGGAGTAACCACATTGTACTGGTTCCTTTCCCTTGTGGTGATCAGGGTGGATTTCCCTTGCAGAAACACGTGGTTTAAGACACGGAGATGCTGGAGGAGTGGTTGGGCATCCTGCCTGCCCGACACACCTGCACAGGGACTGGTTGTTCTTCTGCCTTTGCCAAAGCCCTTACCAACAACTTCAGTGTGATTTCATACCCTCTGTGAAACCTGTGACCCTGCCCATTGATTGCCACATGGAATTAAACCCCAAAACACAGATTTATCCACTTACAGCTTCTTCCAAGGCTCCTCAGCAGCTTTGTCCTCCCCGTTGGGCTGCGAGGTGGGACTGCTCCTACCCTGAGTTCAAGCTGAGGAAGGTGCTGTGACCAAAGCTGCCTGGCAGCCTGCACTGACGGGCTGGAAAGGAGCAGGATTGGTTTGGCAGCCCAAGGTTTCAGAGCTGCCTCCCAGGGTGGGGAATTGCTCCCTGATGGGTGAGGCGCTGGCACAGGGTGCCCAGAGAAGCTGTGGCTGCCCCATCCCTGGCAGTGTTCGAGGCCAGGTTGGACACAGGGGCTTGGAGCAACCTGCTCTAGTGGAAGGTGTCCCTGCGCGTGGCTTTAAGAGCTTTAAGTTCCCTTCCAACACAAACCATTCCATGATTATAGACGGAAATCCTTCCTTTATTTTGCTCTCTTTAAGCGATGTATGACCAGCATCGGGGAGGATGGTAACAAAAATAGTGGGACTTGTTTTGTTGCAGAGCAGCCACCGGGGCTGGCTGGTGGCACCGTGTGGCGCTGGGGAGAGCAGGAGGAGCAGCAGAGCAGGGCAAGGCTGGCAGCTGGGACCCCCTTCCTGGAGGGCTCCTTCATTTGATCTTGAGATCCTTCAGTGCCGACTCCAGGCTCTAAAATGAAATCAGAGGTTGTTTGCCATCAGTTTCCTGCTTTCCAAGGTGACTGGAGGTGGTTGGGACCTAAAGAGGAGGAAGCTGGTTCCTGGGATCCCAAATTCAGCTGGTTTTGCCTCATTTTTCAAGTCATGTGGGCAAAGCTGAAGCCAGGAGAGGGTGCTGGATCCCTGTGCGAGGCTGGAGGCAACCCACCTCTGATGGTGAGCTGTGAAAACCCACCCAGCCCTGGGTTGAAGTGGATCCCACCCAGCACTGTGGGACCCCCATGGGCACGATGGGCCCCACCACCACTGCACAGAGCAGGGTGAGGGGCTGCAGTCAGAGCTGTGGTTAATGGGGGTTCCACAATGGGTGCTCCTGGTCTGGGGGGGGTTGTGGGGCCAC